GGTCTTCAGCGCAAGAACTGCGGATTTTGAACTGTCAGCTTCCTTCTTGACCTAAAAGAATAACAATTAGTTCGATTCCATTTTGATTTCAAGCCTGAGTCCATCAAAGAAAAACGTAACTGCGTGGATGACTAAGAAATATTGTCCAGTATTTACTGATTCCTTTAATTCAAGCTCCTACAAATTAGAGGAATGAAAATGTTCCCGAAGGAACATAGATGTGAATGGAAAACCATTTCACCATCTTTTCATTCGATTGATTATCTCCACGATACTCGGGGTTGAAAGAGATGTGTCGTCATACACATTTATTTTGAAGAGGACCTGCTTTTCAGTGATTTCGAACGAGGAAATCGAATTGACACCAAAATTTAATCAATATAGTATGAAGGGTTTAATATTTTTGACAAGGCTGAGGAATTTTTTCCTTAATTTTTCGCCCTATTTCATGAAGAACATGAATTTTTTTTTATGCATTATTTCATCGAGAAATCTATGAAGGAAATAGCCTTGGAATTTTGAATAGATTCGGCATCCCATGCTGCTCTTACATTATCTACTTGGATAACTTCTTTAAGTAGTCCAGAAGCAATTTGGAATAGAAATTACATTACATTGAAATTACTTGGTTAATGGGCGTTTCGGATAACGATCGACTGGAACTGGTCCATTAACCAACGTACATGGAAAAATAGGTTGGCCGAAAAATAAAGATCAATTTTCGGAAGACCATTTGAACTCAACGATCGACATAGTTGATTCAAAGTACCGTAGAATACATTCCAATCGTTAATTTACTCTAACTATCGCAAAAAGGTTGGCAAATATTCGCTGGAAAATTCAGCATCGTATCAACTTACCACCGTCGCCTCGGCTTCAAGTGAATCTCGCTTCAATATCAATTTACGGATTTGAACACCGACGGCTTTGGCCTTCTTTTGGGTTTCTGCAGCAGCTGTGTCGAGTTCTTTGATTCGTCGACGAGCAATGGCAGATAATGATTTCGGGGGATGAACGCTACGAGCGGAAGCCTCGTCGCACAGGTGCTGACGGCGATGGACGCAATTCTCCAGTTTTTGAGTCAACTGCTCTCGACGCTGACGGATCATTTCAGCTTCGTGGATCAGACGATTCAACTCTGCTCTTCTCAACGCCATTTCACCTGAGGAAAAAACAAATTGGTATATTTATTGGTACCTTCATCAAAAATACAGAGATGTTTGTTTACACCCCGGTACTTAGAGTATGAGGTATACAATTTTTTTTATCCCGTTTCAACAACAGTCATCGTTTGTGATTTCAAGTACAATCGCGTTCTAGGCGTCTGAAGCTGGGAACTAACTTTCCCCATCAGGAACTGTACTTGGGTAGGAAGTTTGCGCAGAAATCGACGCTTACGAAACGGTCATGATTTAATACTACGGTAATTTTCCATATTATTTCACAATAAAAAAGGATAATTTCTCGATACACGACAATTAGAAAATCACGGCCTGTGATACATTCATTTTGTATTGCGCTCAGATGAGAATTTGAATTTACCTCATGTGGTTTCCTGGAATTTTTAAGTTCAACAAAATCGTGTCACGAAGCCAGAATTGAAAGAGAACCTGTCGTATGAAATGACGTATCAAAAAGCAGTGATGCAGACCTTTATTCAATTCGCCAAGTCTAAGTGATATAGGTTTAGGACATCAGTCGAGACGATTCGACTCACTCATGAGGACACTTCGAGAAATTAAAACTTGCCTTCATTTGTTTTATGTCATCGACTTCGGTTTGAGCTACAATGGCCGTGTTTACGTCAATAGTTTATTTCCAGGAAAATCAACTTCGTTAAACAAGATTCGAAAAAAAAAAAAAAAAGAACTGTTCTTCGATCTTTCTTTGGGCGTCAAAAGAAGTTTTGAACTTATCCGAATGGGGAAGAGGTTTCGCCGCACACTTCGCTATGTACCTTCGAACGAAATAAAAATGCGAATCGTTCAAGAGCGAAGATATTAAGGCCAAGAAATTAATCATCATGTTCACTTGCGCATCGATCAACCCTTAGTTCTCGATTTTTTAAAGGATTTATCGTTCACCTTTCAACAAAATCAGCAGATATTGAAGCGATCGTTGAACCAAGACAAAAATCGACAATACTCACCATTTTCCGAGTCTTCTTCCGCAGCAACGTCTTTGAAATCCTTACACATATGATACTTTCGATCCCAGGCAGAAGTGATGGCTTCAGCTTCCACAATCTGCGCCGTCAGTTCCCCAAGCGCTTGCAATCCATCCTGGATTTCGCTCCTTTTCGTGACAATCTCCGCATCGATTTCTTTCATTTTGCCGGACAACTCCAGCTCTTTCAATTCGGTTTCTCTTTCAAAAGACAGCCGCGATTCCTCGACCTTGCTCAATTCATTAGTCAACTGAGTGACTGCGTTGCGCAAATCTCGAATAGTCTTGCGGATGAAAAGAACATCGCGGCGCTCAGTTTCCAGCTCGATGGCCAAGTGTGAGTATTTTTCAGACATCAGTGCAGATTTGTCTTCAAGATCCGAGATTTCTTTTTCGGTACTCGTACGACGACGATTCAGTTCTAGGGACTCGTGTTGCAGCTTCAGCCAGGTTCTCTGAATGAGTTTTTCCGTATTTCTAGCTTCGTTTACTTCCTCCTTCAGGGCTGTAAGAAAAAGACGAGAATTGATAATCGAGTATAATCAAGTAATACTCCGAAGTCGATGACATAAAACAAATGAAGGCAAGTTTTAATTTCTCGAAGTGTCCTCATGAGTGAGTCGAATCGTCTCGACTGATGTCCTAAACCTATATCACTTAGACTTGGCGAATTGAATAAAGCCAGAGCTATCGTATTTGAAATGGGAAGAAAAAGATTCTGCAATCGTCAGCTGCGGGATGCTTCTGCGGTTGTGAAAATTAAAAGCTTAAAAATATTTTCAAGACGGTGGAGAACACGTCGTGAAAAAATGTCGAACATCCTGTGGTATTTTTCTTCAATGGTTCGCAATAGATGAATCGGGATATTTTTTGAAAGTTGAGCCCACCATTGATTGAACGCTGAAGTAGCTCCCCTTCCTCCAATTCTTTCGTCATTTCAACCGCTCCAGTGAGCGCAGCAAGTTTCTTTGACAATTGATCAACTTTACTATGCTTTTTGACAAGCAAATCATCCTGTGACTTCAATTCCCGAACAACTCTGAAATATACAGAAAAGATAAAACGCCGAAAAAGAAAAAATGTTTGCTAAAATTTTTTACCTCTTGAGACAATCGCTACGTTTTCTCACGTCTTCCGTTTGGAGATTCAAGGATGATTTCAGATTCGAGATCTCAACGTTGGCACTAGCTATTGCCAAATCGCCGGCGGCGATTGTATTCTCCAAATCGGCGACTTGAGCTTCAAGATTGCGCGAAACATCGCGAAGTTCGGCCTTTAATCGGTTGAAATGCTTCACGGCATTTTTGCCGGCTTCCGAAACACGCAAGTTGGCCACAATTTCCGCCTCAACTTCCTCCCTCTTCGCTTTGACCTTTTGTAGTTCGGCGAATACAGCGTCCCGTTGAACTACGAGAGCCGAGTTGCGCGCAGTTTCAGATTCCAAACAAGACGTGATTTCTCCAGCAAAGTTTAGTTTTTCTCCGGATTCCGAATTCAGTTCGTCGATTTCTCGCAAATGCTGAGACATTACTGCGCTCACTCGAGCATTCTGTGTGTCCAAGTCCCGTTTAACGTCAGTGAGTCGTTCGTGCTCTTCCATTTCCTTCATGGCTAGACGACGAGTGGCCAGGATCGCATTCTGCGTGACTGTTGCTTCACTTCGTAGCTTGTTCAGATTCTCATTTAATCTATGAAGAAAAGAATCGTTCACAAAAATTACATCACGTCAATGAAGAGGATAATCCTGCTTTAAAAAGTCCCGGGAAAAATATTCAATCGTTCCTTCGCAAGAGATGAATCTTCCTCTGGTCTACATCGAACGGGAGGCGCTGAAAGTTTCACGATAGTTTGCTGTTATATAAGGGAAGGCTAGGGGAAAATCCCCAAGATTTTAGATTTGCACAGCTCTTTCCGAAAGGCTTTTCGACAGAAATTATTCGGTAAAGGTTATGTTCTACAAAATATTTCCCGTATTTACTCGAGAGCCACGCACCCTCGAATAGGACGCGCAACCGTATTTTCCAGTCCAAAATTTTGAAAAAATGTTCTCACCGAATAAGACGTGCGTCCCATTTTCTGTAACTCCAACACTGCATTATTTCAAAAATAAGAACAATTATTTCAATGACATGAATTGAATCTACATTCAATTAATTTTCAATCGCCTTCAATAAAATTGGTCTTCCTGATGAGATTGGTCCAACACTTGCCATTAAAATTAAGCATATCATAATATGCACCTACATTTAGAACACTTTTCGAAAAATGTAAAAAAAAACTTTCATGACACGCAACCCCCTTTTTTCCTCTCAATTTTGGGTTTTTCAAGCGCGCGGGGTACTCGAGTGGACTTTTCTTCGAGTGACTGAAAGTTCATGTGCATATTTAATAGGTGGAGTAACGCAGAAGTTTTACCTAGCATAATTGTCTTGACGAGTAGCAGCTTTAGATACAGCATTCCTCCAACCAGTTTCCGCTGCATCCACACCTTTCTTATTCTCTTCAACGACAGCATTCAAACGCTTGAGTTCAGTCTCCAGAGAAGACATATCATCCTTGCTTTCATTCAGCTTCTGAAAGAGGTACTCCTTCCTTCTCTCACGTTTCAACACTTCTTGCTCGAGACGATCAACGAACAAGTCTTGACGCTGCTTCATCTCCTCGTTGGAGTCCAAGTCCTTCTCCGTTTTCTGCACGGCGTTCTTCAAAATGTCCATTTGCAAGTCCACGTCTTTGCGAAGCGCGGCAAGAACTCTGGCATCGCCTGCCAAACGAGCCGCCTCGTCGTCAAGCTCGTTACTGAGCTTTCTGTTCTCGGAAACGATTTGCGAAGCTCGAGCAACTTCCGAACGGAATTGAGAAACCGCATCTTGTTTCAGTTTGCGAGTTTCGATGGCTGTCGCGAGTTTGACAGAAACGTCGTTCAGTCGGTCTCGACGTTGGTCGAATGTCTTCTTGGCGTCGTACAACTTTACACCGAGATCGTTGAAGTACTCGGTTTCCTTGGCTTTCGTAGCAACTTGTAGGTTCTTTATGTCTAGATCGACCTTGGCTAGGTTAGCGCGAAGGAATTCTGATAGAGTGGCTTGGTATTTGGCCAAGAACGGATGATCTGGGGAGAGGATCATACCGCCGTTTTGTTCTTCCACTTCCATTCTGTTGGTAGAGTAGATCACAAGTAGATTAATTGATTTTAAGATCACGAGAACATTCACTTCTTTTCCGACAATTTCATACCATCTTAGGAAGTCAGCGTTCATTATTTGTAGTATCTAAAAACCCTTTCTTCGGAATGTATTCGGTTGCCAAAAAATTCCTTCACCACATTATTCAGAAAATGTCAGTAACCGAAAAATCTGAGCATTAAATAAAAGAAAGAAAAAGTTCAGGGAACATGCATCCGTTCTAAAAACAAATCGCCAGAAGATTAACAGCATTCAAATATAGGTGAAATTGATTTCAGGATCCACTTCAATTTGACAANAAGAGGTTCCCTAAAATATGCGTCTATTTCGATCTTACTGATTCTTCAAGTTAGGAATACGTTCAGAAAGTCGGTATTTTCTGACTTGGTGAAAGATTTTCGGACCACCCCTTAAACTCTCAGATGAAATGAGAAGAAAACATCAACATTTCGCAAGTGAATCCAAGAAGACCCGGTTTATGTATCGACCACTAAAAAACAAGTGCGCTACGAATCCGCTTCAAAAATGATATCCACCGAGACCCTGTTAAATCCAAGCAGGGCACGAAATTGTCGGAAGGTCGAAAGAAACACGCAAGTCTCAAAAGTATTACGTTAAAGATTAATATCTCTTTCTCAGTCTCAACCATTATTACACGAAAGCCCGGGAAACACACCAGCGACTCTGAAGACACAGCAGCAGCAACTTGCTCGAGGGAATGATACAAAAAAATATGAATCAGCGCACATTAAACAAGGAGCGAGGTATAAAACATCTTCACAAGCCTTGAGTCGAACGCCGAGAGTAGCAGTTGTACACGGAAAAAAATGAAATAAAACCGTTCACTTGTCCATGAGACGACGCAAGTTACGTTTACTCGAGCGAGATCCGATGGACGGGGCCGATCCCCACGAACGCAAAGAACCCTCTTCGGAAACGCTACGCGTGCGGCAACATTTCGTCGGCGATTCTGTCAGACAATGTGGACAAAACGTGTGACCGCAGGAAGATTTAGTGCACGTAGCCATAATGCCCGCGCGAGGAATTCGAGCTGGTGACGAGCACCACGGACATCCGTAGTCTACGAGTGGACTACCGTCGAAAAATGGTTAGACTTTCGTAGTTATTTTTTGTGCTTATTTTTTAGGTCAATGTGTATAAGCGAACGGGTGTTAAATTTTCAGTTCGTGCTTTTGCGTGATCGTAAAGGTTAATCAACAATTTTTGAGTACACTTCTTGAATCGTACTTGCGAAGAAAAGAAAACCTCGCAAGTCAGAATTTCTTGCGGAGGCGAGAATTCTCTCTTGCCGAAGATGAGAGCAACTTCGACCGCACTTCTGGTAATTTCAGATTCCATCAGCGAAAGCTGAAGGAATGCAAAGAGTACAACGAATTACAGCAGCGAAAGATTTTCTAAACTTTCGCAGAACATTCGGATTGCGCGCACGATAGAACGTACGCCATCAAGCAGAAACTGGATATCAGTAATTAGTTGGTTACTCCATAATTTTGCCAATTTTTTCCCGCTTTGATGATAATTACAGAAAACACCATCAAAATGAATAATAGGTAATTCTAAACCTTTTAAATTCGCTTCCGAATTGAAATCTGCTGGAAATTGTGTTTTGACATTGCATCTCCGATTTATAAAATGAAATAATGTATATAGAATGTCGTCAACCGAATTAAAAAGGATTTTTCTGTACATCGAACAACCTTCTTCATAAAAATAAAGAAAGCCACTATCATTCTTGAAAATGCTGTACAGTAAAAAATCTTCAATTCGAACTTCAAGGGACCAGCTAAGAAGTTCGACTAAGAGAGTTTTCCTGCTGGGGAAACACGCGCAAGAAAAACGAAGATTGTAACTGGTGATATTCTGGGCATTGAAGTGTTGACAGGATGCTGAAGTTGAAAGCAAGGGTTTATTTGCCAGATTAGTCTTCCCGTTCCTTTTGAAGTGCATCGAAATACATTTCAATTTATTTTCTCTTTTCGGTGTCGACTAACGGCAAAAAGGCCTTAAAAAAGTGTAAATTTAAAGGGGGAAGCCGTCTAGTAAAGGAGGTTTCTAATACTTTGCTTCGAATTTCAACAGGTGTTGGAAAAAATTTAGAAATAGGAAGGTTCGAGTTATCGAGGTTCAACTGGTTCAACTGTACAAGAAGTATTGAATTACAGTACTTCAGAAATTCTTATGAAAGTAAAAACTCACATTATGGAATTCCCAAAAACGGGCCTCATTTGACGGAAGTGCTCTCGGATGAGTATTTGCCCCTCTCAACGGCGATCTCAAATTGGAGATGTGTAAAGGAGTAATGCCGGATCGCCTCGATGTGTTTTGGGCAGACGATGGAACGCTCAGCCGAGCTTTCTCCATGTAGTCTCTCAGTTCTTCAGTTGTTCGAGGCCTTAAAGTACTCGGTGATCGCAAATAACCTCGCAGCATTCTACTGTTCTCCTGCGAAGAAAAATAGGCAAATCTCAACCGCGAATGAAAAAAAGGGGGTTTCGAACGGCGATTCAGGCAAACATACATCTAAGGTACTCACTGGCTGGCATCTTCACATCATCGCAGCATTAAGGTGACAAAAAATAATAATTTGACAAGTAGTTAGCGTAGCAGATTAGGATTCAACTCACTATGTCAGGAGAATTCAGCCATATGCGTTTGACTCTCAAGAATTCTCTTCGACGAGTGAATGCTGGGAAGTCTTCACGAACACTCCGAGACCAAACATTTGAAACACATGATACGGCGCATAGGTCATCTCCGGTTAAGTAGGAGAATATCTTCGACAAAATGATCTGAAAATAAATGCGTTTTGTGAGTCATTGAATGCTTTTAACAACAAGAGGAGACAACCTTGTAGTTTCCAGTCTGCGAGAGTCTGGATATGATATCATGATTGACGACTTGAGCAGTCTCAATGGGCTTTGGAGGGGCAACGAGAAGCCTGTCACAGTTTGTCGAGGAAGCGGCCTTTGTAGCCAATCGAGCAGATGTTCTTCGAGGACTAAGAAACAAGTTTCTGTATACGTGAGCTGTCCTTTTTCTACCGGGTGTGGATGTCGCTGAAGGAGGTGTGCAACCGGATATCTCCAATTCTCCACTTAGATGAGACACATTTGAACCGAGCTTATCATTTTCAGGGCTGATCTTCGGCGGCGTAATACCGCCAACCAGCGGAGGAGAGTTGTCAACAAAATATTTCTGCAGAGCAGGACTGAACTTGATGATATCAAAAGCCGAAGAACGAGGCGCATCACGGAGAGTTTCTTGTCCACTGTCATCAAACGACAGCTTCTGACACACCTTCGAAGTCTTGAGAACCTTTTGCGGAAGCGACGGGGCTATTGGAGACACGCAATACTTGCATAAAGTAACATCTTTCTTTGGAGATGTGAAGGAAGCGAGGGAATCTGCTGACGGTGTCACCGTGTTGGACTTCGACACTCGAAGGCTACAAGCTGACCGCTTCCTATTCAAGGCTTCTTGTTCCTCCTTCTCAAGACCTTCGATACTCAATGACACCAGCATCTCGGATGGAACTTGCGATGCAGCAGGTTGAGTCGAACATTGTTGATGAGTGTTCAGCTTCCACTTTTTCTGGGAGAAGATTGCGTGAGAGCGCGTCACTGGAGACAATTGGGATGGCATGGTCACCGGCGACACCCACGCGAGGGTGAGAAGCCGTATTCTATTCCCCCATCTTGCCACCACGGAGAAAATCCGTGATAGCCAAAAGCATTTCTGTACGCAGAAGAAAATTAACGAATTCATCCAAAAACGCTGATGAAAGTACCTTCAACAAGCTGCTAACTCTGGATAAATCTTCTGAATAATCACAATGCAGCTATCAAAAACACAAATGCTGTTGACGGGAGGTAAATACATGAAGGTTGACATGAAGCAGTATGTTCTATAGGATACCCTTCACTTGCTGAGTAGATTATTCACCGAACAACAAAACGCACCGAAACTCAGGAATTGACTTCAGGATGACCGTTCGTGGACAACACCGAGTATAGCCTCATTTTCACCATCACCGCAAATTGACCTTCGAGCACGGCATTCAAAAACACAATCCGTTACACACTTCACAGTACCGACTCCGCGGATGCCTTTTGTTCGTCAACGCGCGCCCTAACCAGATCACCCGCGCGCGCGGAACTCGGCTCATGGTGTAAACAAGGGAGTGGCCTAACATGGCGGCCCGGGGAATTATGCGCGCGTATTTGGAAACTGCTTCGCCTAAAAACCACTGTACAGCAGTACACTATTTTAGTAATGTGATATAGTTTACGTTTCGATGTACAGTATACAATTCAGTATCTTCTTTTTGGGAAACTACATTATTGCTGCGAAGAGTTCAGAAGAACATCAGATGCCGACTAATGAAGAAACCGAACTTCTGTAATTTGTAGGCTGCGAAGATGCGTAAGGTTTCTCGAAGAAACAGGGTGATGCTGTACTACCATTCTCATTTATTACTGTTTCATAGCTCCATACCATTTGAGCACGAATCCAGGAGAGATGTTAAAAGGAATCTGTACAGTATTTTCAGTTTGAGAGCATCCAGCATGCTTCAGGTATCCACCACCAGTGCAAGTAACATCGCGGATTCTGCTTCGCGCCCGGAAGTTCTGAGCATTTTAGTCGGACACAACATTATGCGACATTATTGCAATTCACTCCGCTTGAGGACTGACCAATAATTCTAGTTCAGCTATAATCGAAAAATGAATAAATTTCCGAGTGAAACAGTCACAATAATGGAATGTATTTCAATGAACCCATCATCACAATTTAAACACAACACATGTGTCAGCGAACGTGAACAAACCCCTACCTGTTGGCCTTCTCAGAGTAAATAGGCTTGTGCTTGTCTAGAAGCTGTACTTCAAAATGACTTCCATCATCTGGGAAGGAGAATAAAGAACTGCCTTGGAAACCTTCCGGACTGTCCTCTTCATCGTAAGAGCACAACTCGGTTTCAAGAACACATTTGTGCGACGGCGGGCAATTCGAACAGCCAGGTCCAGATTCGTAAACCTGTCCTCCGACGACGTTTCCACTGAAACATGAGTAGTTTTGTAAATAATTACTGATGCTGAATTTATTCACAACTTACGCCGGCCCGTAGTTGCAAACATAGAACTGTGTGAATCCGCCGAATTCCTTGTCCTCGTAATAGGAGAACCCGCAGCCAACTAGATACGTGTAATCCCAAATCATTTGCGTGTAAGAAGCCCACTTGTTGTCATGTTCGTAATTGCTAAGCACATCAGTGTCAACAGGCAGTGCATTCATCGTATCTGCCCAAGCACCAATAGCCATTCTCCAATCATAACGATAGTGCGCCGACTTCAAACCTTTGAACCGCACCACATTTTGTCCAACGAAGCGGAGGCGATCTGGAAGTACATCCAAAAAAGAAAATATAGTATAGAAAAACTTAGTTCTTCGTTTTTCGTGAACTCTTCTATGTTGATAGCAACTAAACAGATCAATCGTGAATACTACATTCGATATGCATCGCAAAACGTTTGTAAGCTCGTCAAGGTTTTGAAGAGGAAACGTCAGCATTGGTGACGTTTTCAATGTAACCAACCTAATGAATAAATCATGTCGATAGAAATACCAGCAGTTGGTTCAATAACAATGTCTCATCCGCTCCATTCATTGGAGCGAAATTTCGGTCATGAAACACATTCTACTCCAAGCTTTTTGAATAGAGTTCGCAAATCTCCGACCACCCATCTCCTATACTGTACAACGATTTTAAATAACGACGAAATGTCATTCACGAAGTTCGAGACACAACGAGACTACCTGACATCGCATCAAACTTTTGCCACACTATGCAAAAGTCAATAGAAATAAAGAAATTTCCCAAATTTTTACATAGATAAATTTCTTTCTGTACTGTTCAACGACTGGAATGGAAATACTGTATAGCTGAAATTTCACAGTAGTTAAAACATACCCGTTCTTCTACACTCGATACAATCCGTAGTGAAATTGCACTGGTCGGCCCACGCCTGCGCCAAAGAAGCAAGTTCTCGATCCCATACCTGAGTAAAGCTTTAAGACAATCAGATACTGAACTAAAATCAAATTAATCGCTTTTCACCATTTTCGCCATCGCCGCAGCAGGTCGCAGTCTAGTGCCATTGATTACAACCTCTCCCTTGGCCATTTTCGATCGGTATTCATTGTGCAAATCAACAATCAGCTCCTCATCTTCCTTTTCCACACCACGGACGATCTTTTCGCATCCCGTAAACCCTGATCTGAAATTAAATTAAGATATACAGTACTGTATATCGAAAGCTTCGAGGAATCACGGCGGTATTTATACTCACTCGCGGAGGCAACCTGTGTGATTCTTGGCATATTTCTCGTAGCATACATTGGACGAGTAACTGTTGGTAAAAGTGAAGAATATATCTCGATGGACGAATTGGCTCGTGTTGGGGCTCAAATTCGTATCGTCGATAAGTTCGTGGGCTCGCTTGTGTAGTGAACCGTAGGGCACACGTCGCGTTTTATCGCTGAAATCAATGACCCATGACATTTGAAAAACGTGTCCGTGCAAAAAACGAAGAGGAATAGCTGTATATACCCTATAGGTTGAAGCTCGTCCAACTCACGGTCCTTGTATTCCTTGATAAGATCTTGAAATGAGTTCAGAAGTTCGTCAACATTATCGTTACTCGCTACTTCCTTTGGCAAACTCGCGAGCACAGCAAATAAGTTTCTTCGCAGGCTCTTGAAGGAATCGGATTCCGCAGCAATGTTCGTTGTATTCTCGACGCCATCTTGGTTGATTTCATTTCCCTCCGGAGGGGTATAAGAGGAATTACTGCTTCCTTGTTCTGCTGCTGCTGCGCAGAGGCTAAACTCACACGCAATAAGTATCACTACAAAAATCACTTGTGGACGGAATTCAATCATCTTGCACGAACTCGTAAAGGCAACTGACATGCGGGTGGCTCTGTCGGATACCTGTAAATGTGAATGAAGGAATCGAGGATACACGAAACTTCGAGATTTCGGCAGATAGATCATGAAAGAAGATTGTTTCTAAGAAATTAAGAAAAATTGCGAACTGCGCTCTTATGTATCACTTTCCTAGTAATGTCGGTGCTCCATCCTTATTCTCCCTTCCATGGAATAATAATCACTTCAAACCTGGTTTCCGACGAAATTTTCTTGGGAGAAAAAAACTAAATTTTAAATTTACTGTAAATCAGATATACAGTATTTCCTTTCGAGAAAAAAGTAGCGTCCTTATCTTTTAAATAATATACAGCACTGCAAAAAAAGTGAAGCATAACCATCGACTAAAGTAAAATATCAGAGTGATGTTCAATGCTCATCAACTGCGGAATTTCTCACTTTCACAAAAAATATAGGTCAATCAATACAATGATATAATTTGACAAGCAGCAGCATTCGAACTATAAATATATCGAGACATTCCACACGAACAGTAAATTCTCAACTGGACCAGGTTAACGAATGATCAAGACTGGGTGATCTGGAGACACAGGCTTACCTCAAGGTCTCTTCTCTGGTATCCTTGAAGAGATTATCCACCGGCCTTGAAGCTCGCTAATTTCGTGAAGAAGAAAGAATTATCTGCCTTGAAGATATTTAGGGGATGTACCCTATTCCGGACACCTTTCAACGGGTGACAAGCATCCGACCTACGTGAATTCAACCTATCCCCCAAAGCCCTTCTTAATGAGCTTATTAATCCTCTCGTTTTTCCAAGACGAGCATCTGACCCATGACTTAATCCCTATCTCGCGCGCCAAGCTTTCGACCTATCCTTTGTGTGGACCAAAGAAAACAGCTGCGAAGTTAAATAACAATTTTATTTCAAACGAATTCATAAAATAACAAAATGAAAACTAAAAATTGATACAGTCATAACAAACAATCCGAGGTACGGTTCAGTGCAGTAAAAACAGAAAAAAACGCGAAAATTTTAATGATTATCACCAGCAGCTGCTTTTTGCAGCTTTTCGATCTTTCTTCATAACTACGGAGTCCGGTGTACTGTACGCAATGCTCTCAATATAAGAACGGGGGTCGCGCAAATGAAATTTTAAAATTTTAATGATTATCACCAGCAGCTGCTTTTTGCAGCTTTTTGATCTTTCTTCATAACTACGGAGTCCGGTGTACTGTACGCAATGCTCTCAATATAAGAACGGGGGTCGCGCAAATGAAATTTGCTGAACAGCTGACAAATTCTATTTGACTTTTCAATATACTTGGGATTCTTACGGGGAAGTGGACCACCTAACTCCCTGTCAACAATTTCTGATGTCATTTTCAACCAAATCCCATACATACTTCTAACAAAAAGAAATTCATTTCTCTCAATGCCAGTGCGTCCGCAGTCATCAATAATCTATAAATTAAAAAAATGAAATAATAACATGCAACATGTTATGTCATTTTCAACCAAATCCCATGCATACTTCTAACAAAAAGAAATTCATTTCTCTCAACGCCAGTGAGTCCGCAGTCATCAATAATCTATAAATTAAAAAAATGAAATAATAACATGCAACATGTTGCAAAGCGGGTTCATGACTTACTTCTTGATGAACATTTTCACAAATTTTCAAAACAGGTTGATTGATATTTTTGAAATCACGTACCAATGACTTAACCTGCGATATCATTTTATATTCTTCCATTTCTGGCTGATCATGTCAGTGAGTGTCATCAGACATACCATCTTTGTAGAAAAACTTCCCTTCTCGCAAGTGACCCTTTGCACTACATCCAGTTGTCAAGCAATTTCCACAACATACAGCAATGTCACCATTGGAATGCAGCATGTATTGCTTCAGATAAATGAAGCCACCAGCAAGAAAACCGTGGCCACCATGGAAGTTCAACATTGAAATAATCCATTATTGCACAAAAAATTCAAAGATTTTCAAAATTTCAAGAATCTTGCGATGTGGTGCTTCAAGACAATATATGCACCACAATGACTTCAGTGGATTTACAAGTGTTACCAGACTATGTTTAGGTTAATTCAAACTGCTATGGCAGCCAGGTTTATGCCCCCAATCCCAATTAAAGTTACACTTGTTTGTGATTTTGAAAGCGTTTTTATATTCTTCCATTTTTATATTCTTCCCGCAAAATCGTTCCCTCATATGTACTGGGATTGGTTCAATGTTGAAGTTTGAACAAGTAACCATGTTGAAAGCTGGCATGCAGCTCTGAAAAATTATTTTGAAATGCCTCATCCTAATTTTTGGCATTTTGTTAGAAGTGTGTATGGGATTTGGTTGAAAATGACATCAAAACTTGTTGACAGGGAGTTAGGTTTTATGCCAGTGTGGCTGATGAACTTGGGTAACCCCGCAAAATCGTTCCCTCATATGTACTGGGATTGGTTCAATGTTGAAGTTCAAACAAATAACCATGTTGAAAGCTGGCATGCGGCTCTGAAAAATTATTTTGAAAGGCCTCATCCTAATTTTTGGCATTTTGTTAGGAGTGTGTATGGGGTTTGGTTGAGAGCAACATCAAAACTTGTTGACAGGGAGTTAGGTGGTCCACTTCCCCGTAAGAATCCCAAGTATATTGAAAAGTCAAATAGAATTCGTCAGCTGTTCAGCAAATTTCATTTGCGCTACCCCCGTTCTTATATTGAGAGCATTGCGTACAGTACACCAGACTCTGTAGTTATGAAGAAAGATCAAAAAGCTGCAAAAAAAGCAGCTGCTCCTGATAATCATTGAAATTTTCGGCTTTTTTTTTTCTTTTTTTTACTGCACTGAACCATACCTCAGATTGTTTGTTATTACCGTATCAATTTTTAGTTTTCATTTTGTTATTTCATGAATTTGTTGGAAATAAAATTGTTATTCAACTTCGCAGCTGTTTTCTTTTAACGAATGATCAAGACTGGGTGATCTGGAGACACAGGCTTACCTCAAGGTCTCTTCTCTGGTATCCTTGAAGAGATTATCCACCGGCCTTGAAGCTCGCTAATTTCGTGAAGAAGAAAGAATTATCCGCCTTGAAGATATTTAGGGGATGTACCCCATTCCGGACACCTTTCAACACGCGTAGCACAAAAATATTACGATTTAAAGGATAATTTTGGAATCAACGAAAAATATAAGCTACAGTACAAGCTCTAAATTTTGACACAAAAAGCATGCAAAAAAATACTTCTGTAATCTAAATATAGTACAGTAGTATTCTTGATCATATGTGACAAAAAATTTCAGCATGAGGTAAAGTTTTAGACAATCCGCCGACAAAATGTAGTCCAAGGAGATCATTTCCGAATAAAGTGCGGAACGTAGCAACCCAGAATTATTTTATATTTCCTAATAATTTTCCACGGATTACATCATCGCCATAAATTCGAGGACCAAGGAATCCCGATCACTATCAGCACTTCAATAAACAGCCTTCATATCAGCAACATCGAACACCCACGAATTGCTTTGCCTCAAAATGTGTTGATCAATCGCCGTCCCCTTACACAAACTAAAAAAAAAAATCCCACACCACGAGAAAACCTGTTCAAAAGCCGTCGCTTTCAAAAGAATACAAACAACTAAAGAACTCGTCAAATGGTCTTCATGTCTCATTTAAAATGCAAGATTGAGCAGCGAACCACAGATTGCTAAAACGGAAAAATCAATAGAGAAATATACCCGTCAGAGAAAAGAAACGGCTCAAATATAAAGCTGAAGCACCACTTCACATCCCATTGTACGCAGGACCGCCACCGCCCTCTGGTGTGACCCAATTGATGTTCTGCGAGGGATCCTTAATGTCACACGTCTTGCAATGTATACAGTTCTGAGCATTGATGACCAAATGTTGACCGTCACCGCTTTCATTTGGTACATATTCATAGACACCTGCAATCGAGATGTTTGATAGTTGATGGAAAATCGCCGCGAATTACCCTTGATTAAGATTTTAGGACAAGACCAGGAAAAAAGAACGCGGGTTTCAAGCGCCGCATTCTTTGTTTCTTGAAATCTCCCTCATTAAAACTGAAGCAGTCTGTTGACAAAAAAATAAGTAAAGAAGGTCTCCTATAAAAAAAAAGAAGAATGCGAATCATTTCATCATTAAAGTATATTCATGCATTTATCTGTTTTGTAATTTGCTGAAACAGAAAAAAATTCTGCTCTGTCAACTTTGTGCCGTTGGAAGTTTATTCTTCAACAAAAATTGGTAACAGAGCGTCTTTGGTAGTTCATCCTTCAAAAATTGTACACATCATAATTTTGATCCATGAAAAATTGTAGAATATTTCAGAAAATGTTTTCCTTGAATACAGGAAGTTTAAGAGTAACTCGTGTAAGTGAGACCTTATCATTTTCAAGCAAAAATCCGTCTCACCTGCAGGACAAAATCTGCCCTCTGGTCCGTCATATATTGCCAGATTGCGGTCCACTGGAACTTTGTCGTCTTTCAGGGTTAAATGCGGTGGTTGACGCTCATTATGGTTCGTTCCGGTCAACGCAACGGAACTGAGCAAGTCAAAAGTCAACTTTCCATCCGGCTTTGCGTATTCCACGGGACTGCATTCCTTCGCTGGCTTCAAAGATTCGTGATCCGGGTCTGTAGAAGCAGAATTGAGGTAAAAATGTCACCCAACTCACGAATACCTCGTCTTAAGCGAACTCGAAAATAAAAGCAGGTCGCATCACATATTCGATCACGTTGTATTTTCGATCCAATCTTATTTGAAGGAATTATACGTTCGGTGCGATCTCAGAGTCGCACTCGATATCTTCATAGTTAATATAGTACCACCAAAACAATGTCTGAGATTATGGTTTTCGAAAATTCAGCAAAATAAATCTTTTCAAGGGCACAAATGGAAGAAGTTCGATCTTTGTTGGAAGGTTTTCAAAACAGTAAGACGGCAACTAGAACACGAGTAGAATCAACAGGCTCCAGCAATTCCGAAGAATAAATTGAAAACAACGGAAGCTCGTCTGAAATTTAAAACACATTTTGCCATTCGTGAAGCACACGAAAAACGGAAGGGCATCTTCTAATCTAATCTCACAAAATACTCAAAGTGGAGAATAAACTTAATAGCTGTTCAGCCATGTTACTTCTCACATACTTTTCCCCTTTAAACTTTTGGATTTGTTGAAAACCCCGAAATAACGTAAATCGATAACCGAGAATCCTCCAGCATGAATTGAAGAAAAAATATGAAAAATCACTCACGTTCATGCTTGAAAGTCCAGGGCTCCTTTCCGCCGAGTAAATAATACACTGTTCCAGTGTACGCGATTCCTCCATAGAGACCCAAGGCGCTGTTAAAAGAAGGCCTCACGTTCCGGCAGCCTTCCAATTCTTTCCAGATCCAACTATCCTTTATCCTTTCCTCATATGAAATCGGTTGCACACCTGCAATCATCACAAGTATATTCGTAATGTGGGACAAGGCTAATTTTCAATATAGCACAACTACTTTATAGTAATGTACTGTACATACATTTATTTTGCCAAACAAACTAATCCACCGACAGTTCAAGAATAAAAACGGAATCCCTAAATTTTTATATTCTTTCAGATTAAAAAAATATTTATTCCAGCAGGGCAATTGTTGAAAATTTCTTCCTTTCTTGTCCCGGTGAAATTATAACATTAACCCACACTAAATTTAAATAAACGAACAACCAAGATTATCCAACACAATAATGGCATAATATTACCTAACGCAAGAGGGACTAGAATAAATAAATTAACTTGACTAGAGTGAAAGTAAAGCAAATGTATAATGACCGTTAATTAGCATGATAGCTCAAAACCTACCGCATTACCAACAAAGCAATTCACACGTTGAAAATAACATCATAATACCCAAGAAATAACTAAGCCGTGAACCTGAGAACATGAATGTCGAAAGACTGCATCCGGCAATTCGAACACGGATGAACTAGTATTTTGACAAAGAATAGTAAAAAAATACTTAGGAAGTACCGTATTCACGCAAATATAAGCACCCGTACTAAATTTTCATGCACAAGATTAAAAATTCCCACACTAGGCGAATATAAATAAACAATTACTGTCCTGGTGTTCTGAATTTCCAGAAATATACGATTTCTGATTAAATTTATGTTTTTCCCCAGAAAAGGAGAAATGGTGTCTCACAATTCTTGCTTTTTCCCTTCAGTCAATGACTCCTACACCTGGAAGCGACAATTTTTCGAATATTTTCAACTTCAATTCCAAAAATAATTGAAGAAAAAATTGCTCGATTGTTCTGGGGGGCACGAACAGGAAGATTTCCTGAAATAGACCCATATCTACGCAAATTTCTCAAATATGGAAATATAAGCACCCCTTCAGTTTTTGAACTTCAAAAATTGAGAAAAAGGGGGACCTAAATTCGATACTGTACTGCACTTCTACCGCTTGCTTCACAACGAAAGTGAAGATTGTAAGTACTGATGTACATGTAATGGGATAGCGAAATTCGAAACTTTTCTTACCAACGGTATCGGATTTCACATCCGGTTGAATCGCGTCATAAACACTCTCTGCTGCCAACATGGCACTTTTCATCGCTCCGTGAGTTCCTTTGATTTTCGGGCAGTTCAAAAATCCAGGGCTACATCCCACCAAACAACCACCGGGGAATGTCAATTTCGGTATCGCCTGGAAACCGCCTTCGTTCAACGCACGAGCACCGTATCCAATCCTGTATAATATTTTACACAAAGTTACACAAATACTGTACTGAAGTATGTAAGATTCAGTTACAATACAGTACTGTATTGACCCGAGTACTACGCCCAACTTTTTCTTTAGAAAATAAAGGCAAAACAAATTGGGGTGCGCGTGGTATGCGTATATACGAGGGTTGTTTCATAAGTCTTGCGAATATTTCAAATAGACCCAACACAGTTTGGTCTATTAATTTTTTTTTACTCACATAACCTCGTCACGCGGCAACACTTCAGTGCTGTTCAACATACTCTCCGCCAATTTCAATGTACTTTTCGCGCGATAAATCCAACGACCGAAACAGTGACGAAAAACAAGTTCAGACTGAAATTTTCCTGGCGCCTCCGTTTTGATTATTGGATTTATTGCATGATAAAGTCCATTGAAATTGGCGGAGAGTAAGTTGAATAGCACTGAAGTGTTGCCGCGTGTTGAGGTTATGTATGTAAAAACAAAAAAATTTTAATAGACCAAACTGTGTTCATAGTCGCAAGACTTATGAAACAACCCTCGTACATTTTCGGAAGCAAAAAATTCAAAAAAATGGTGCGAGCCATAATTGCATTTCTGTAGGTCAAAATAATGACCAGGAATTTTTTTCAGCACCATATCCTGCTGAAATGCCCCATATGGTACGTGCACTTTACAGTACAGTATTTTTTCGGGATTATTTGGTTCAAATTCATCATTATAATTTTATAAATAAAATAAAAACGATTTTCGATCAGCTGAAACAAGGGTGCACGTCTTGTGCGGAGAAAGATTTTTGGGCCGATTCCTGGCCATAAACCTACGTTGCGTGCCTCACTTATGGGTGCGTGGTACTCGAATAAATATGCATATTATTTTACAGGAGTTAAACCTACACCGATATTTAAACTTGGAAGACTCAATGAACCATCCATTTTGAAACGCTGTTTCGGTATAAAATCGAGGAAATAGTCGCACTGCCTGGCTGAATTCTGCGGTTGAGCACACCGGTGTATTCCTATCTCGTATTTTTCCATCCCTTTTATCAATCCTCTATAGTGTCTATACTATATTACAGTATATCCTGATGGTTTTCAAATTCAGATGCTTGCGAAAGAGACGAAAAAACGAACTTAGAAATGCTGATACAGTACAGTAGTTGACTACGATGAACGACTCCTCCAATAAATGTTGGAGGAAAACAACATCCTCACAAATCCGCATAATACGAACATACGAAATTAAATTTTCAAAATGATTCTGCTTCATAACAATGTACAGAACCATGCGATTTTTCACCATTCCTCCGCATGCTGGAACCATAAACATGTAGTAAAACACATTTGAGTCAAGCTGAGTCACATCAAGACACCCTGTGTGTGACTCAACGTGGAAATGAAAAAATAACAAATAAAAAAGTAAATTAGTTGCATTCGGACAGGATGATGAAAATAATCATGTGACTTTTTTCTTGACCTACTCGCAAACAAACAGATAGACGAGACCCTTCTTACGATGGGAAGGAAGGAAAGCCATTGAACCAAGCAAAGAATCTGAATGATTTACCTTGAACCCCCATCAAGAAGCCGTCGAATGTGCGGATGAGTCTTCCAAGTCTGGAATTCCTTAAAAGGGTGGGTGTAAGGATTTGAATAATCCAAACCGATCGCGTATCCAAGGGCAACGAGATTTGGCTGCGCTGGATCATTCAAATGATAGATGAATGATCCAGAATATTGATTCTTCGGCTAAGGAAAAAAAAAAAAAAAACTTTTTAATCTGGTTCATAAAATCACCTTTAGCAAACCAACGCATTTACACCAAAAGGAAAATTAATCGAAACCTCTGAACTCCACAGCAAATAATGCGAGTCAGTCGGACGGAAAATGAATTAACGAGTTGGAAAAAAAAACAATTCCGGCAATCCTACCATTGGGTCACTTGCTTCCATACAATTCATCACTAAATACGTTGTCCCAATGATAATTTCTCTGGCAAACAACTGAAGCAACATGAAAAAAAATCACGAAGAATACTGTAATTGAATTCCGGATTAGTTATCGAAGAAGCGCTCAGGACATGACACCTTTCTCGGAAAATATCAAATGAACTTCAATTTTTTCCGCTGACAATTAAAGCAAGTAGAGGTGAGAAACAATTCTGCTTGAAAATTTCAAAATTTCTACTGGATATGATCACATTTTTAGGCAATGTACTTACAGCTGGCCAGCCAACGGTGTGCTCCACCAAACCTGGCACATGGACGTTGGGGTCAACGACCCAGAGCTCTTTTAGTCCTATTGCATACGACTGGGGGGAACAATCTTTGCGCAGATCAAAGCGCTTGTACAATTCCTTCGCTAAATGTCCGTGGCATCCTTCGGCGAATATTGTACATTTCGCGTGCAACTCCATTCCACGTTCGAAATTATCCTGTGCGCAGAACATGAAGATCGAATTCAGATATCGGTATAGTATAGTGTTAATCAATTGCTTCGCGTTGTCAAAAAATTGCGGTAATGGTTTTCACACATACGAGGGGTTTCTACAACGTCTAGAAATGAAATAGAAACTGCCATCAAAAGCATGAAAAACTGGTATCCTATTTCACACAGTTAGAAAATGAAATACATCCAATTTGATTCTTGGAATAAATGTATGATGCTTACCATTTACAATTTTCTGAAATAATATGAACACACAAATTGCATCAACTGCCTCAGCATTGTTCCCAACACTTGCAATAACTTCTTAGGGTTCTGCACAATCTTCGAGCTACATTATCAATATTTTTCATAAATACTGTATATTCTTTTTTTTATGGCACCGAGTATCGGTAAAATTGGAAACATTACAATTTCTATCTTAGAATTTTCAATGCTAATAATGTGAAGCTTTGTTCTTTGGCAGTTTTTCACATTTTTTCCGATTTCTGTGACAGAATACTGTATTTTCTAAATAAACAGAAACGATCCTTCCTGTCAAACTTCATTAAGAATTCATGTTGTTCGTCGTGATCATCTCGACAAGTTTAAATTAAATTTGATTTTCAGTATCTAAAATAAATCGCTAAAAATAAATTGACAATTTTCGTTCATCTCCAATGATGTTAGTTAGTCAGTCATTTGCAAAAACAGCGAGTCCTAAAAAGTTTGGAGATACGTAGAACTTGAAAGAAATTGGTAGTTGCCATTACCTTCGGAGAACCATCTTTATCTATGCCGACGTCGTTCGTGGCAATGCCTTTCACAGACCCATCTTCATTGAAGAGAATTTCAGATGCTGCACATCCAGCATACAATTCAACACCGAGTCCTTCAGCCTGGTCACCCAACCACTTGACGAAGTGACCCATTCGAATGATGTAATTTCCGTGATTATTGAGAGGCATCCCTGGAGCGAATATATTTTTACAAAGAATATTATAATTTAAACCAAATTCCACGTCGGCGAAGAAAATTTGCACAGAAATTGGCCTGGTCACTCTTTTCGAACAACTAGAAAACGGCATTAAAATTACTGATCATAATACAGGGTGATTCACGCGCTGCTAGACCCACAAACACGCTTACATTCCGGAGAATTTTCAACATGAGATTTGTGCTAGGAGACCGTGCGTGTGAAAAAACAGAGGAATTGACCAATTATTGTAGCAAAAACAGATCGGCATTTGAGAAGTGCGAGGCAACATTGTCGATCTTTCCAGGAAAATCCTATCGTGATTCAAACAATGAACTTTTAAAAGGCGATAGTCAGACAAGAATGATTTTTCAGAGGGTGTCAATACGTTGTTTTGAGTCAGGACGCCATTGATTTCCATCCATTTTCTAGGCGCCGAAGAGTTGCGGTGGTTTTCCGGGTTCTACAACGATTTTCTCTCTTCGTTTCGCATGGAGTAACTTTTTTTTTTTTTTTTTAAATTCACAATCGCTGTTCTCCACTCTCCGAAATATCGTTTTCAAGGGCTCAACAAAGCGTGAATCACATCTTTTATCAGTCCTCAGTTTTGTATAAACGGCACGTGTGCATAATGAACTTCGCACCTGGAAGAATAGGAACAGGAATGCGTCGGTTTTTGGTGAGGAAGGAAAATTTATCCCCCGTCACTGCCGTGTGCATCGGGTGACCTTCCATTCCTTTCCAGTCCGGCAACAACTCGTCCAACGCTTTCGTCTCAATACAAGCTCCAGACAGGCTGTGTACACCTGGATTTGATTGCTCAAGATTATTTAGGAAAGATCAGTAGATATTATACAGGGTGCTCAAAAAGTTACTGCGCCAATATGACCTTGCGAAGAAGACAGGCACATTCACCATGAGTGAACTCATTAGCATATTCTGCAGATTTGTCGGGGAGTTAAGGTTCTCCTTTTATACTTTTACTTGAGCCTTTAAATTTTTGAGCACAATACATTTTTTTTACACCCGAGGATTTTTGCTTTACCGATTTCCGCAGCTTTTTCTACCAAACAGACTCTCAATTCTTTCCCGGAATCATTCGCGAGTTGCTTCAATCGAATGGCAGCCGCCATTCCGGCTGGCCCACCACCAACGATCACGACATCCGCTTCGTCCGACACTCGTTCCATTTCGACATCTGAGAACAACCCGAACATGTTAATTCGCGAAGAAGTATATAATAAAGAACTCAATGTCGTACAATGGGTGTTATAAACTGGGTGTTGCAAGTCGACTGGAAAATTTATTGGGGGTACAGTGGTACAGTATATCATCAAATGCAACTCTAACAAGTTTTCTTTCTGGCTGCTTTCTCTCGTCTTCTTCAGATAGCCCGGAATTTTGAAACATCAGGTTGAGAAGATGGCGAATGAAAGTACAGGTACTGTATAATAAAATCACAAAAATGGTACATCACTGTAGATTCCATCAAGGTACAGTACATTACTCTGCTTGCACATGTGATTTGATCATTTTACTTCCAAAGCGGAAGTAAATTGCCTGTGTGCGAATTACCAAGTTTACAGGTGCACTAAATCTAAAAGAAAATCCAAAGGACCCGAAACAATTCCTCGAAGAGAGAATTCAGTCCTAGAGAATCCCTATAACACAAGAAGAGTAGCATATACCCGTATGGGATCAAAAGAAGAAGAAAAATGAGAATATTGTTGACAAGATTGTTGTAGGGAGAGACCCCCTGTTCTGAATAACCTGAGATCTTCATATTTCCGAGTTTAATTATGTTTGGGAACCAAAAATGTACATTATAGACAGCATTCACAGAAGTACCACGCACACTTTCTTCAAAAACAGGGGGGGGGGGGGCAAAGAATGAGGGGCACGTCATAAGTCAGTAAGAAATTTTCTAGTGAATTTTTTAAACTTCAAAATTTTCACCACATACATTTTTCAAAATTCTATTTAAATTTATTTGTCTCACAAAATAAAATATCAACTTTGAAGTCAACTTTCAAGTGGGCAGCATTTAGATTTTACCCCACGTAATTTTTAAAATTTCATATGAATTTTGGGAGCTGAAAACGGAGATGCGCATCTTATGCAAGGATGATATTTTTTTATAAATTTTAGCTAAAAAAAAAAAAAATCAAGAGGCGGGTCTTACTTTAGAGCGCGTGGTACTCAAGTAGATAAGGCACTGTAATTTAAAAGAGAAACCAACGAATTGCAGTACAGTACAAAAGTGATAAAATGCAACAACAAAAAATCTTCAAAGGAAGAATGCAGAACAGCCATCTCACCCTTCCATCGCGGATCTTTCTCCCGAGGATGAATCGTATAATGCGTGGTCAGCTTCGGATACGATTGCGCTTTCTGACTGCACATACACACTCGTATCATATGCGATCCTGATACAATTTTCAGGAGAATTCAAAATGAAAAAAATTCTTTCCCACATGGCGTTCTGTAAACAGCTTACCTTTATTTCCAGGACGCAATTTCTTCAATGAGGATGCCAACATTTTATTCGGCACGCTGAATCTCGGCCCTAGGGCAAACGCAGCCATTTAAACCACAAATCACTCGAAATCTGTTCGCAAAAGAAAACACGAAAGAAAAAAATCATTGAGAAAATGTACGAAGAAAAATTTGAGAAACAAGGAAAATAACCAGATTCACTCGGACGGCAAGCAGACTGTGTTTATTTGTTGCAATAAGTCAATCACAACTTTGTCATACGGAGGTTAAGCCTGTATAAAGCAAATCTTTTCGTAAGGCCCAGTAATACGTTTCTCAAATCTGTAATCCCTCTCGTTGCCCTGTGACTAGAAGGGTGAATTCTTTGCAGGCAAACCCCGCCAAAAAGGGGAATACCACTTAAAAATACAGCGTGTCTTCCACGATAAAGGCCACGAAAGCTCGTTATCAATCCGCGTCCGACCAAGAAGTCGTCGGTAATGAGCTATGCTTCATTTTTTTTTTAGCCAGGAAGATTCTGATATTCCCAGAGTTTTCGGCGGTCACCACAACGTATCCTTCGGGAACGTCCTTTGGTTCCGGTGGGCAACAAGAAGGGTCTTCTGCTTGGAGCCGATCACGCTCCATTTGCATGAAAACGATGTGTGGGTTAGGCGAGAACGTTGCCAGCGTAACTCCGCTCGACATTGCTGTAATTCGAAAAAAAACACCTTCCTTCACAAATTCAACGAAAGACAATAAAGACTGCACCAGAAATAAAATTAAAACGAGATGAAGGGGCAACTAGTCAACTCGATACGGTGCATCGAATCGATTTTTAACTCTGATTTCGTGTGAAAATCGAAAATGCCGGACTCACCGCGAATCGATTCGTAATAGATGTTACGATCCCTTCTCGCAGAAGAAAATTTTGCGCAGTCGTGATTCGTTTTCCAGAAATAAACCTGCGCATTGTCAGTTCCCGTCACGATGTAATTTCCATCCTGACTATAAAAATTAAGAAATGAAATTTTTTCTACGTTCTCGAGAGGGAAAAAAAATTACCAGCTTACCTCACGTTTGCTTTGATGTGGTTATGTCTAATGACGAATCCCTTACCCTTGTATTTGCAACTCAAACTCAAATCCCGCAAGTCATACAGCCGTATCCTACTGTCAGTCGTGGAGACCAAGACCTGAGGAGAAAAGATTGCCAACCCCCTTCAATCTAAAGGTCTAATTCCTCAATCGTGCAAAATATTCAATATAGCATAGCACTTCATTTGCGGAATGACCAATTTAATGCCTGGATTCAAGAACAAGTACTGTACTTCAACGTAATACACGGAGGAAATACACGACGACCAAAAGAGATACGAAGTACTGTATACTACTACGAACACACCTTATCTTCTCCTTGACAGGGCAGGATTCCGGTAACCTTTGGACCTCTGCTTGACTTATACTTTTTTGACGAATTCGATGATGATCTAATATGGATCTGTGTGTGATACCTGAACTGGTCCGTGTTGTAGAAGATTACGCGTCCGTCATATGTTCCAACAGCTGCAAACTTCCCGTTCTGTGAATTCAATCATGCGAAAATTGATCGAAACTCAGTTTCACAAAGCAAAATACATTGTGACACAAGCGATATCAGACAACAAAAAAAAGGATGTCTCCGGGAAACTTCGAAATTACGCAAATCTCGGTAACAAAATCTTGAACAATGCAAACGGAGAGAAAAAGCAAGGCATAAACCGATGTTACTCATTTTATCTTACTTTCCAAGTCATAGCACGAAGACTTCTTCCGGAGAAATTAAAACTTTTCATGAATTTTCCATCATCAGTTGGAATTCGCCGTAAATTAGTTTCATAACCTCCCCAGGATAATCACGTTCAAGTGGATTCCGTCAAGCATAAATTACTTTACATTGAGAAAGAGGGATCCATTCACCTGACAAAAATTGGCTGCAGTGATCAATTTAGTCGGGCCTTCTACTTCAGCCCATAGAGCGACCTTCTTGTCTGGAATGTTCCATAGCCTCAATTTTCCGTCCAGAGAGCCGCTCAGGAAATAACGATCATCCTGGCATGGGATTCCAAAATTTTCGCTTTCGCACTTGGCTTGACATGAAAAATGTAAATACACACCCTTGGATGAAAACAGATGGAAGTGACGACCTCCGCATGCTGGAAGCAGCACAAGCATTCCGTCCTTGAAATATGCCACAGTCGCACAGTTCGATCCATCGAACATGAAAGAAGGAAGTAATTCTGAAAAAATTAACGTAGTCAATTGCACCGATATAAAAAACAAGTACCACCTCACGCGATCACAATTATCAGAAACGACAATTAAATCGAACATATCACGTTCTCCCAAGCACTCCTAAAACAATTCATGCGCACAAAAATAATATTTTCAATAGCTTTTTGACAAAAATCCATCAGCATTCTCTGTTTCTCAGAAAAAAACCAATCTTATAACGAATTTTGCTCCAAGAAATTCAGTAAGCATACTTAGAGGGTTTGATTCATACACTATTTCTTATTGACTAAAAAGATTTGCGTTTCCTACGATTGCAGCAATCAGCTGTAAAACCTTTCATACAAATTCACGCTTACTGTTTAAGTAAATGAGCCTCGGACGATTCAAGTACTTTTTTATCGTCGTCCATATCTGATTCTTTTTCGAGGTTTTCGCCAAAGTAAAACTCACAAAACTGGAAGAGCTCTCATTACGTCTATGCTATTCCACGGACAAATAGAAATCAACTATATTTCAGACATCAAGCACAAATTTAAATGTGCATGACTCATTCCATCAATTTCAAGCATCACATCTCTAACTCCAAAAGCAAAACAAAAATTAAGGGAAGAAAAATGTTTCCAATTAAAACGCTTTTCTCGATACTGAAAATTTACATGTTCTATACAATCGCCAGTATTATTCAAATTTACGGACGATTGAAACGAAAGTGTTTAAGAGTAGAATAAACTAACTAATGAAATTCACAATCGCTGTCGGTTCGCAGACAGATACAGTAATCAAAATTAGGAAAGTTATTTGAAATGCTTCATCACAAGGCCTTACCTTTGACCAAGTAAGATCAAGCACAACGGCCGTATGCGCAGCGTATGTGCAGAAACTCGTCGGACAGAAAGGCACATTAGCGTCTGCAGATGCACGACCAGAGGCTTGAGTACCACCTTCTCCTCGCATTTCATCATGCAGATTTTCCTGCGAAGGCGTGGGTGACGTCTGAAAAACATCAAAATGAAAAGAAAAAAAAAACATAAAACATTCAGTCGTTTGTTTGCCACAAATTGATACAAAACATTGCAGTATATTCCTCGGAAAACTGGCCAATTTTAATCACTTCGCAAGATCACTCGGAAAGCAAGGACGTACCTTTGCATTATATTTCGTCCTCATATCTGCAAAAAAAGCATACGCACTGGACAGGACCCAGATTGTTATAAATTCTTTGGACGCAGTGGCCAGCAGCCTTCCACACGGAGAGAATTTAGCTGCCCATATCATAGGACCTATTAAAATACAAATCATGCAATAAATTTTAAAAAATCAGAATATCACCTGAAAATATTATATCAAACCTGCGATGCTTCCAAGCGCTGAGCTGTCATCACTCTTTAAACACTGGACGTACTTCAAATTGTCAAAATCATAAGGCCCCTTGTGTTTGGATGCAGCTTTCATCTATGAAAATGAAATAAATGAAAAAAAAAAACCTTCAGGACATCAAAAATTCAAGGTACGGCAGTTCTTGAAACTAATTTCACGATTTTAGGCAACAACAACAAAAGCAGCAACATGTAAACAGTTGTGTCCTCGTTCACAAAAACTGACCTTCATGATTTCACCGAGTCGACTCTGCCCGACTGTTTCATCAACATATTCACTTTCCGGCATTTCTGATTCCAGTCCAGAGCAACTTCCAACACCATAGACACTCATTGGTGCTGCACCTCCAGAAACACTGCAGGCTCCACTGCCAGAAGCCACGCTCAACGCTGAAGAAGTTCCCTTATGAGACTTCGCACTCCCTGCAACATTGTACGCCAGACCCTTTGCCTTGTGAACAGCTTTCTCTGCAGTTTTGCCCAAGAATCGCTTCAATTGTTGGCTGAAGAAAGTAAATGCAGTTGGACGTCGTTAACTCGAACCTCCCCATGTCAAAAATGTGTTGTAGACACTGTCTGAATTCCCTCGAGAACTCGAATTTCTGGAGGCCTTTGAGGCATTCTTTTGAATTTCCAGGAAAGCGTAACACAATAAAAATGTGACTCGATGCTGCTTAAAAGGAAGTGAGTGAATAATTGGGCGAATTAACCCTTCCCTCCAGGTTTAGCATCCCGTCAAAACATTTATTCTACATTTTACGGTCCAAAAATTCATCAATTCCAATTTTCTATAATTATTTCTGAACAACCAGCAAAAAAATAATGTTTCATCAACTTGAAATCTCCGTTAGTTGAATATTTTTGCCGGTCTTTCAAAGTTTGATTCAAAGAAGTTCAAATGTAATAAAAAAAATTTTTTAACTATCGGTTTCTTTGAATAATTCAGATTTTTTAGAAAATTTTGAAGGCTTGCTTAAAAAATATTATTGTATTGTTTCAAATGACAGATCTTGTGAACAGATGAAGAACTCATGGATTGCTCGATCTAAAAACACCTCGAACACTTCAAAATATGAAATTAACTCACGTTTTCCGTTTCACTGTGGAAGTTTCACCTGATTCGCTCGTCAGTGACTTGTGAGTGAAAATGCTCTCCTCGTCTGAATCTTTCTCTTTGCTCTCCGCTGGACTAGAAAATGAGAGAGAAAATAAACTGTGTCAAAAGCTGATAAGGGAAATTCTGAAGTTTCCGTGATACTCCCACCATCTGTGCGTGACGCATACTAAATCCCGACATATTTAGCCCTCACCTCACGTATTCCGAAGTCAGGCGCATAATATGTAGCGACAACGGGTTGATGGCGGTGGGTATCTTCTCGTCAGCTTCACTCAATGGCACACGTTCTTTCGAGTCAAGATCCAAGACTGTGACTTGGCGCAAAATTTCCTAAACCCCAGGTAAATTAGAAATTGAATGTTAATTTTTTTTCGAAGTTCCACCAAAACACGTGCTCAGAAAAACAAAAAAATTCTACAATACACATCATTTTCTGGACTTCATTCAGAAGCCATTTAGCTACGTTATGCCTATTTCATTTCACTGACCTCCTCAGAGGACACTTTAAAAAAAACCACGAACACGCATTACCTCATCGGACAACAAGCGTCCAGATGGTGTTCTTGTACGAGCCAAACTATTGACTTGTTTGATGATATCGCTTTCACGATCAAGGCTATTTTTGGAAGCACTCGCGGGAGTTCTCAGAAAAGGAAATGTTATCCCTCCCAGTTTCATCAATGCACTTTCTTCATCGCCATCTGAAACGGAGACATTCACTTTGTGACCAACACAGTTATGTAACGAATAGTCCGCCAAACCTTGCAAATTGGAGCTTTTACGCCTACGATCCAGCGAACCATTTTGCACCTGTTCCATGGTCGATCTCTTCGAATCCAGCGTCGATGACTTGGAATTATTATGGCTACCAGAATCCTTGGAACCAGATGTACTTTTGCAGGCAGATTTTTGGCTTTTGAGACTAGCACGTTTACTGCTACTGGAAGTAGAGTCGGAGAAGCTGTAATACTTAGAAATTCCACCTTCGCTGTGCACTGAGCTTAGGGTATCGGATCCACTCATAGTGCTTGAAGAGAAAATAAAATAAAAAGTATTAAAAAAAACACAATTTCGTGAACTTCGTGAGACAAAAAAGGCTCAAAATAGTTACAACTCACTTTTTATTCAACGTGTTCTCCTTCGAGTTTTCCCCTGAGTCATACTTTCTTGCTTGCCGATGCGGTGGGAATGACGCAGCTTTTCCCCCACCACGAGCAGCTTCATCATCAAACGGTTGCACTAAACTCAGGCCCTTCACGGCCTCAGCCAAATCGAGGGAAACTTCGGCATTAGCAGACTTGTCAGGAGTTATTGCCCGAGGCAAACCAGGTGGACTGAAAACATTTGTGGGAGTACTGAATGATGTTAGACCAAGAGCAGCAGTCGGCGGAGTGGAAATTGAAGAACACGATGCAACGCTTGCTTCACTCGTGACAGAAGCAGCAACTTTTCGACCTCGCTTTTTACGCGGGGGAGGAATCGGTGGGGGTGGTAAATAATCTGGTGGCTCGGGAACGGAGCCATTTGAAGATCCGGATGGAAGACGGATTTCGTGGGATTTTATCACAAATTCTCCATTGTCTGGAGAATCACACGACACGCTCGTTCCTTCAACAACGTTGCTTTCTGAATCCGATGTGACCGGAACTCCAGAGCTCTTCGAGCAAGCCACTAAGTCAGGTTCTTGACCACGAGCAGTCCTGCGAAAGACAACATAAAAAATTTAAAGATAAAAATGCAGTTCAGTACTTTCTCGTACATGTACTATCTTTTCAATCTCAAGCCAGATACACTCTCTTTCTACGTGGATACCTGAGGGATTTAAAATAAGCCGTTTTAAGCATGACTTTCCTACGGGCGGTATTCACAATACTGCACAGTAGTTGAAGGTTGTCTGAAGCCAGAAAAATTCATTTTGAAGAGAACAATGTTCTGGAACCCACACGTAACTCAATCCGATTCAAGAGTAATGACTAATCTAGTCTTAACATGACCTGATACTGTATTTCAAAGGGACGCAACCTTCCAGGTTGAAATGTGGGCTGATGTAGAAACACTGTCCCGGTAGCTTCAGTACAGAAGATAGATGAAAAAAATTCCGAAAATATAATTCGCACACGTTAATGAAAAGAAAATTAATGAATAAAGTTCGCAAATTTAGGGAAACAAAATTTTGAGATGGTTTACATAAAATTGTTCACAGATCACAGGAATGCATCCTATCTTCATCAACGGTAACCAAAATTCGGTAATTATAGCTCGAAAAATTCAAAAAAGCGAGATCAGGCGTTGTAAAGAAAAGGTTTAGCTCTTTTAAAAGGCATCACACTGCCTGAAGGTGAAGAAGGTCTACAAAATACATCACGTCTTCAAAATTATTGTTGCGTGAAGCATTAAAATGCTATCTGTACGATAAGAATGACAGCATCATTGAAATTTAGAACAATGCGTGTGTAATTTAGTGGCATGACTCACATAGGTTGAGGAATCTTGAAAATTGCTCCATCGGGACTTGAATGGTGCCAATATGGTTTTGGCGCGGACAATGAGCCAATGGAATTTGACAACTGCCGGGTGGATCCAACTAATGGTACAGGGTTACCACGAGAAAGAAAACCCAGGGATGCAGTGGTGCGACGGCTGATCGAATCATCTTCAATAATTCTAAACGGAACCCTCTGAGGTCCACAGGCAGCACCTTGTGACGAGCTAGCGCTGCTCAGTGAAGATGTTTCTCCCATACTAACAGCTGGCGCAGAATCGTCTTCAAATTCGCTCTCCATTAATGCTTGCCGGAGCTTCTTTAGCTCATTACGTCGCTGTCGAAAAAGTTCAGACTTTTCCAGGACGGGTTGAGAAGTAACCGAGGGTTTTACCGCTTCGCCCACAGAATTCACTGACGGATTCCTAAAAATGTTTTCTCAAACTTGAAATAACATATAATTCGATACAGATAATATAACTCACTGAAGCATTGATCTGCGTGGCAGAGTATCCCCCGATGCAAAATCGACTGCATCGTAGAATACTTCCGATTCTGAATCGGACGTCGACATGATTCCTTCAATTGATGAAGAACTTCACTAATCAACTTGTTCCATCATTCCTTGAAAATTATAACCGTTTTAGTTGGGGATACTGTATTCACTAAATCAACATAAATCCGCGTGTTAACGGAAGACATTCACTCCACAAAATATCAAGCGTAGAGGCGTTTAATTTGGAAGGGGTGAATAATTTATTCTTGAGCCCCCAACCCCCGCATTTCATTCACAAATTGATTACATCACCTCCACAATCTCATACGTCGAACACACAGCGAAACGCAACGCAGCCTGCAGGACTACTCTGCCAGCACGTGGCCTATTAACCCAGCGTGCGTACGGCATTCACTACCCAACCAGGACCGACATCTAGGCATTAATGTCAAAAGTCAATAATCCGTTTGAATCGTAGAAATACAGACAAATTTTGCCAGTAATCGCGATGCTATGAATATTTTATTAACCACCGTGTACTGTATTTTTCTTCACATTTGAGTACATCGTTTATTTTCGAATAACGAGGAGATTTTCATGAATTGAGAAGCAATCTGCAAATTGCTTCACTAGCTAAGTTACATTTCTCTCTTGCAGATATAATCGTGATGGCCATCCCCTAACCATCTAGTACATAGATGGTAAATTCTCGCGACGTTTGCGCGTATTGTGGCGCAGCAATTTTCTGATGAAAATGTGTAGGAACAAGCTTTCATTATTTACGTGAAGGTCTGATCTAAAAATGCGAAAAATCGATCTTCACGCGGAGCTGAGTGATTGAAAGACATGTGTGGCCCTGAAAACTCGCTTAGTTTAAGGAAATACGTGTTGTTAACATTTTTTATATCAGCTTGTATGGCTCAAATTCTGTTCCCGTTTCTGACGGAGCAGGTGAACATCGCGTCATGGCAGCAAACTTAGATGAAGAACAAAGTTTGCGGGAGTGTGAATCGTACGTTCAGTGTCATAACATTCAGCAAATCTTGAAAGAATGCATTGTGCAGTTGTGTGTTAATCGTCCCGAGAACCCAATATCGTTTCTACGAGAATACTTCACGCAATTGGATTTGGTTAGTTCTTCCCTTGAGTCATAGGTGATTTTGAATATTTGAGTTGCTTTGTTCTACATAGGAACATGAGAGTCGACTGAAACTTAGCGAAGCAACTGCCGCCGTGTCTCCGGACGATACAGAAGATTTATCACCGATGCCTGCTCCGTTGCGGCAGCCTCGGAGAGGAGCTTTCTCGGCCGAACCCATTTCAGAGGAGGATGCTACAACCTACGTGAAAAAGGTTGGCTCTTAGATTTATTATTGTGACTAAGAAGAAAACTTCGCCATCTGCTCAATTGCGGAGATTTGAAAACATGCTTGAATTTTCATAGGTTGTCCCCAAGGATTACAAGACTATGGCCGCGTTAACGAAGGCACTTGCCAAAAACGTTCTTTTCGCTCATTTGGACGAAAATGAGCGTTCGGACATCTTCGATGCGATGTTTCCAGTCACCGCTATCGCAGGCGAAGTTATCATCCAGCAGGGAGATGTCGGAGACAACTTCTACATCATTGACCATGGCGAAGTGGAAGTTTATGTTAATGGTGACATGGTGACAACGATTGGAGAAGGCGGCGGTTTCGGGGAACTCGCGTTGATTTATGGTACTCCTCGTGCGGCTACCGTTAAAGCACGGAGTGAAAACGTGAAGCTGTGGGGTATCGATCGTGACTCGTATCGAAGAATTTTGATGAAGTCTACGATTAGGAAACGGAAGATGTACGAGGAATTTCTATCGAGAGTTCCAATACTGGGTGAGTTCCAGTGTTGATGCTTCGTTTTTTTTTTAATAAAGATTTCAGCTAATGGTTCGATGTTTGTCTTACGTTGCGTATTGTTGATTAGCGAAATTTCCTCAACGGGTTTTTTATATGGCTGGTGGGAAAGAAATGTTCCTTTTCGAATAACGTTCAGAATTCATCTGCAATCATGAAATTTGGAAAATTGTATTTCACTTCCGTGTCTTAATTTCAGTGATCTTGCGTAACGATTCGTGGCGCGGGAAATCAGATTTTTCGTACGCCGCCATGGTAATGCGTGTTCAGTGATTCAATTCATAATTTTTGGATAGCCTATTTTTCTGAACTATCCCGTAGTATTTGAAACGAGCGCAGACCGCCGGAAAACAAACTTCAGGTATTTTCTAATAAAAAAGTCATTTTTACAAGTCTTTCGAGGTGTTCATATTTAGTAAACACGCCGAAATAAATTCTAAATACAATCCGAAGCATAAGAAGCATTACTCAAATTGGAAAATTATGTTGAAAGCCAAATTTTTTATCACAAACTCCGTTTTCCTCGAGTAAAAATGATCAATGAGCATTCTTAGCGCAATTTCTGATTCGAAGCTCGGTGTGACATCTGAAGCAAAAAAAAAATCTGGTAACCTGTGCTTCTGCACTTTTTAATTAGTCGCCACAAATCCTGATCGCTCTTCTGCACGTATTATGTTCCTTTTCCTTGGTCATCTGGATGGTAATTATCGTATTTCTGGTTGCAGAGAGTTTGGATAAGTGGGAGCGACTGACAGTGGCTGATGCCCTTGAACAAGTCAGCTTCGAAGATGGTCAAAGGGTTGTGAAACAGAATGACCCTGGCGATGACTTCTTCATTATCCTCGAAGGAACTGCTGAAGTGATGCAGCAGCGAAGCCCGCATGAAGACCCCATAACTGTGGGCAAACTTTCGACTTCCGATTATTTTGGAGAGATCGCTCTTCTGTTGGACCGACCCCGAGCTGCTACAGTCGTCGCTCGCGGGCCTCTAAAATGTGTCAAACTCGACCGCGCACGGTTAGTTCCATCATCCTTTTTACAAGGGTTACATGCTTGAAATGGTTTGCTTTTCTTTCACTGCCTGTCATCTTAATTTTATCCAGAAGAAAATACTTCAATCGTAATTTCGGAACTATGCTTCCTTTTTTTATTTCCACTTCTTTCACATTTCTGCCTACCCAGGTTGAAATATTGGAAAATTCCCAGTCGAGTCAGCACACCAATTTCGTGTTGAATAAAGGTTAATCCAGCAATAATTCAGATGTGTCGAACTTCTGAACTCTCTTTTTATTGGCGATTTCCCAAATGGGGCATAAAAGTTATGCAAAATTTGTTAATATCAGGGTTCTGGATATTTTTTTCATTTATGATGCTGATTGTGATGTTTTCCGAAAAATGGCAATTCTTGTCCAGAAAGCTGAAATTGAATGAAATCTTCAGCGTACAAAGAGACTTGTTGAAGGTCCTGTTTTTAATTCGACGACTTCGAAAATTCTGAATGACAAGTTCTGGTTTATGGATGACGTCGTGACCATACTGAATTTTGATTGTGATCGGTGGATTCATAACATGAAAATAAGTTGATTCACGTCGGTGAAGATGACGTTGATTTTCATCGAAGTGAGAGCGATTCATGAAGTGAAATGAGAAAAAGCCGTTTTCCTCTCAAGCCCCAATCATTGTTTTCATGGATGTGGCATATCCTCTAATCCAGCCCTACTATTTTTATTTCAACTGGTTTTTGCTTCAAGTGACTGAATGAATAAAGTAAAATCTCGTTACATCGAAATCCCAGGAAGCTAAGAAATAATTCGCTATAACCAAAAATGTTTCAAGAGGAAGCTAAGAAAGCAAGAGATTTATGGTTCTTCGAGCATGTATGACTGGAATGCTGTGTATGGGATACGAGTAAAAATGAACGCTATGATGTACGTCCACAACACATATGGAAAAATAGCCATTTACAACTTCTTTGGATGAAACGATAAAGGAAACTCAAATTTTAAAATACAATTCTCTTAAATATTTCCTTTCTTAAATTTTCTGTGCAGGAAAATTAGCATTTATATATGTGAAGTTTCTTCAATTTGCGCGAGTTGGGTTTTCCCGTATTGTGCCAATTGGACAAAATGTTTCATTGCCCTGCACGCACAATCGAAGCAAGAATTTGTTTTAATGCGATCATTGAGGAAAATTAGTTTTTTATATAGGAATTTGTATGTATTAACCCTAGGGAGAAACTGCTGGGACCAAGATAAGAATGCGTAAAAACGAGATTTGTTGTAACGGAATTTTATCGTATACCGTATTTATATATATTTTGTGTGTTTTACAGCTTCGAGAGGGTGATGGGCCTGTGCGCAGACATCCTGAAGAGGAATATCCAGTTGTACAACAGCTACATTTCGCTGTCCCTGTGAATCAGAAACAGCCGCATTTTCCTTGATGTATCCTCCGCATGATAAACCTAACTTTTAGCCCTGGCTGAATGAGTGAATCTGCTTTCTGTTGCTCGTGGGTGAGATGGTAGCGCCCTGAAATGTGCTCAGGCATTTCTGATATTCTAGGTGACATCGGCTCGTGTTGGAAAGGAAGCAAGAAACCGAGAGAACGAATCGATGATCAACGGAATGCGGTTTTGGAACTTAAAGCACTCTAGGTCTTGCCCCCCGAAATTTTTTTATGGAAGTGGTGGTTTTTAGCATTTTTCGCGGCGTATGAGCCAAGAAATGCGTGTGATTGATCGGAAAAAACATTCAATACTGTTTTTCCTTGCGCGAACGTGCGCTCCATGCTTGATGGAATATTGTCTGTTGAGTTCTTCTCTATCTCTCGATGTGCTTTCAGCATTTAATCCACCGGGGCTTCACGAAAACGTATCGCTGTCTTCTTGTGCGGTACTAATTCAACACCACGGATAACTTGAGTAAATTTGTTGTCCCTGTTTCCCGTACTTCGGCGTGGGAAACCCGTTTCCTCCCGATATTGTTGAAGTTCAGCATCGAATGTATTTCACCGGATCTGTTCGACGTCTTATTTTGTCGAGTACCGTATTTACGCGAATGTGAAACGCGATGATTTTTCCTATTTTGACCCAGAAAAATCGGGACATTTTGAAATCGTTATCGACGTAGATTTGCATGGAAAATCCCGGGGTGGTCCAAGAAAGTGTCCTTCTTCGAATGATGCACTTGACATCATGTTGGAAACTTCTCACCGCTAAGGACAGGGTTTTGAGTATGGTTAAAAATGATCACTGCATGCGGACATTTTAATTCTGAGCATTTCTTTTTTTATCTCTCAGTGATTTGGTAATGTTGCTGTCAATTACAAGATGATAGCCTTCATTTGTAGTTCATAATGCATCTCACTTCGTTTCACAAATTTTGGTCCACTCTGAACAGGAAATTTTCTGTCGCACAATTGAGCGTCTCATTTTTCCTCCTGAAATTACTGAAGCCTCGTGTTCGCGTAAATGCGTGTCTTGTTCTTTTAATTCAATTACAGTACTTGACGAGGAAAACTTGGGAATCTATGTTCAGTGTTTCGAAAATTATTTGGAGTTTGTCTGCCATTTGTTCAAATGTGCAGTGACGCTTAGGTTTCCGTGTCTATCCTCGACAAATTCTAGCATTGAGTCCACGTTTTATCTGACTGGTTTATTAGGAGTAAGTAGTATCTGATGACTACTTATCAGACCTGGGATTCCATTGATTGTCTTCATTTCTTGGAAGTGGGATTAGAACACGTCTTTTTTATTTGCCGGAATGAACACTTTTTTTTTTTTCTAAGAAATTGAGTGATTCCGTTCCGTAATGTTCATGATTATGGACATCAGTATCTTTGATGTGAGTGTTTCCCCAAGGACAGAAAACACTAATCGGGGATGAATATTTGGTCATAATCGGTGTTTGACCCGTGTTTTCATCTTCCTTCGGCGATCGGTTTTGAAGCGAATACCTTGAACTTGTGTGCTGAACAGAAACCGTGCTTTGAGTATGTGTTTGACAAAAGATGAAATGGATGTTGGAAGCGGATAAATAATCGTGAGGCAGGGAGGGATTCGGGGCGATTACGGATGCAAGTGAATAATACGCCTTTTTACCACTACCTTCGTTTTGACTTTCTTTTTGCTCTGGTAGTTGGCATCTGCATTGTCTACAGACAGCTGAGATCATTTGTATGTTCTGGACTGTATTCACAAATTTAGTTGAATGTATTGGTTTTAGTTCCAATGCTGAGAAACAGTGGATCACACAAGACAGAACCACTGTAATCAATTCCAGGCTGCATTTCATTATGCTGACTTTTAAAAAATTCAGAATGAAATTTCACTCTTAAGTTGCATTGTGAAATACAGTAATTTAAGTTGGTCCAGATATCACAGAAAAAAGCTGAGTTGTATCTGAGAAACATGTGTGCCCAAAATTTCAATATACAGTACTGTACAGTTGGTTCTCTCTACAATAATTCACTATGGATAACAAATTTTTCTTGCGTCCCATTAGATGATTTCTCTACAATGAAATTCTCTCTAACTTGAAGTGTTTTCCTATCAGACCTCTCTAACTTGAAGTGTTTTCCTATCAAATCTCCCTAACTCTGAGATCATTTGGGTATAAATTTTCTTGAAACAAAAAAATGAAGTTTTTGATCTGTTTTGAACAGAAGTGAAAGAATAGTTGGGCAAATAAACCCTTCTGTATCTAAGTTCAGCATCCTGTCAACTCATTTAAGAAGCTATTTAAGTCCCAGAATATTACCTGTAATTAAAATTTCTAGCAATTCTTCTATATTTCCCACAACAAAACTACTAGTTTCTTAACTCCAAGCTTCCTTAAGTTATTGAAACTTCCCCAAGTTAAATTATTTTGCTGGTCCCTTGAAATGGTAAGGTAGGATGCTGTATGCATGTACTGTATCAGATTATACTGTACCATATTGTGTTTCCAGCACCTGGTGTCAATTAAGTCATCTGTCTTAGTTTAAAGCCAAAATGAACTCCTAAAAATATTTGGGTTCCAGGAAACACCCTTTTTCCATGACTTATTCCTGCAACATACATTTTCTACTCTTACAAATATGCATCATAAAACACATGCATAAATGCAGCAGCAGTACAAATACTGAACTGTATATGTAATGCATAATGGAATGGCAGTCCAAGACTTCATGGCGGACCCCTCAACACTCCCTCCCTCCCAACAGAGGAAACTGAAGCTGGAAGGGACTGAAAGGCGCCACACTTCCCGTTATCCTCAGTCCTGTTTGTGACGATGGACCGTGCGGAGAGCGAATCGGATGTGCCGTAACGTGTCGTGCATCTGCAGTTTTCCTTGTCCTTACCTTGTTTTTGGTGAAGGCATTCGAATGCCTTCAACTCGAGGGAGAATTCTTCATATTATGGAATTTTTGTGAGGTTGCTTTGGTCTAGTCTAGCCGATGGAAGTTTGAATAGCAATACCGTGCGCGTGACGTACGTTCTTACCAATAGAAATTATTTGTGTGAACATGCAGTGATGATGGGAGTTATCGGGTTGGTAATCGAGGTGCTGAGAACGGCTGAACCTCACCGTGCTGTTAAAACCAAAAGGCTTCGATTTTATGTAGGTTAGTTTTTCGTGAAGTTCTAGACATTTTGAGCATGCTGGTTAATGTGTCCGATAAGAGACGAGATGGTGACGAGGTTTACTGAACATGTTTGATGTGCTGAGATCGTTGGATCTTTTCAGCGATTTTTTCGTATCGTAGGGTGAATCTCACTGGCGGTTCGCAGGAGCAGGTTCCATCTTTTTTTTTTCTTCTTCATTGCTCCCTCAAGTTTTTGAGGGTCATTCGTAGGTGCTCGTCGGGAATGCGAGTTATTGGGGGCCGATGAACCCCAGTGGGCGTGGGTTCCGCAATAAGTATTCACTGTGGCATAAAAGTTGTGTTAACCCACAAATACTGCCTATTCAAGTGATAGTTTTTTTACGTTTGAGGCACAAAAAACCGAATTCAAGGCTGATATTTGTATTTATGCATCGTTATAGTCAATTCATTTGTATAAAGTAAAATATTGTTTTAAAAAAATTTGTAGGACTGTATAACAAACTTTTTTTTACAAGAATTCCTATATGGTACTTTTTAAAAATATCTTAGCCGATTGTGGCCCAGAAAGTTTTAGACGGATTTTCAATTGAAAATGTGTCATGTATTCATGCAGCACAACTCCTGAAAACCTGAACGTGAGCTGAAATGAAGAACTCCGTAATGGCTTTGAGTCCAGTTCCAGAGGTTTTCAGCATTGATTTAAAATTTTCGTTTTCATGTGTGATGACCGCTTAATTAGCGTGAAGAAATTTAAACTTGTACATGAAATTATTTGCTATGCTGTGAATCACGTGCTGATTCACCCTGTTGCTTTTTTTTATATTCGAAGTACCAAAGCCATCGTAAAATGACTATTTGCATTGAAACCAAAGCATATAGGAAATGAGCTCATTTGAGATGAAATCCTGCCTTAAGATCAAATTTTTCAAACTTTGCTGCCGGAAAATCCATCCATAATTACCAGAAAGACTGAATGTTGCTGTACAGCAAACATTATTTTCGATCTTCATATAGACTTGAAATTAAATTTGGCACAGTGCTGTTTTTAATCTGTCGCGAGATCGAGAGTGCAAAAGAATCAGCAGATTCTGCTGCTTGAAAACTTGAATCGTCACTCGAAACGTCAGCAAAATGAATTTTCTGCTGTTTCCCCAACCCCAATAAGTGTTCTCCACCATGTTGTTTGGGACATGGTTGGGGATGACTCTTCATTTTTCTTTTTTTTTCTCATTCTGAAGAACCTCACTGTGGGGAAAGCAAGGAAAAAGAAAACAAGATGAGGTTGCAGGAAACCAACGTGGACTATAGGAAAAACAACTCGTGTGCAAATAATTAACGGGAAGTGAAGAAAAAGAATGTAGAAAACATCCGCTTTTTTGCTTAAAATCAGCTCGCTGTGAAGGTATAGGGGGAAAGATCCATTAAGTTGCAAGGGTCTTTTCCATCAACATACTGTTGTTCAGATTTCTGTGTACATCCATCACGGGCATTGGAGTCTTGGCTTCATTTTGTTCCTCCGCGATTTTGTGAAACTCTGAAAATATTATTCCACTCTGGCCAGTTTGCATACAATGGAGAGGGAAAAAAAGTTTAAAAGCATGAACATGGGGCTTCACTGTAGAGCAGTGTTCCCCAACCTTTTTGGGCTGGCAGACCAGCAAATTTCCATAAAATTTGCATGCAAATTTTATGGATTCCCTTTCATTTTTACATGTAATTCACACGTTTCTGTGAGATGTACTCAATTCTCAAACTATCAAGTTCTTTCAGGATGCGTAAAAAACGCATCCAATTTTTGAACCTCCTCACATGTTTTTTGTGACACGATTTTTACATGTTAAACCCCTGTCACTTTTGAACACATCATTTGTAGTGCAAATTTTCTCATGTCTTTTCTTGTGTGAATATCGAGTTTTCTGGGAGCATGTCAGCACAAGATGTGCCCGCTTCACATCACTTATTCACACGCTACAAAAAACAGGATCTTTATGCATATTTTCATGCCTCATTACCATGCAACTTCCTGACGCACTTTCACAAAACGCCTTTGGTTTTCCTGGGCACAGACTTGAAAACATTTTGCTTGATAAACACTATGGCAGGTACTGTATATAAAAGTTTCTGCTTCTTCAAGTTAAGCACTTATGAAGCAGCTACAGCTGAATGTCATCAAAAACTTAGGAAGGTGGGCTTGAAGAAAGGTTTCTCAGGATGAAAAATTAAAATGATCTATTTCAGCAGGTAAAAATGTGTCTGAAGTGGAGGAAAGCCAACTTTTATTTGTCATCAAATGATTTCAACTGCCATTGTCTTCTCAAAGATTTAGATAATTTCATTGCTACTGTTGATGAATGTATTATGCTGAAAATTTCCTGCAGACCAGCACAAAACTTCTGCAGACCAGCACCAATCTGCAGACCATGGGTTGGGGAACACTCTGTAGAGAAAATTCACCTTGCCATTTTTATTTGTAGTATTGAATGCTTTTCTGCTTCTGTCCAAATAGTTTTGAAAAAGACTGGAAATTAAATTTTACTTTTTTTGAATTACTGCCCACACTGGCAAAATTCTAACACAAATGTTGATGTTACTACTAATTTTCTTTGTAAGAGATTATTTTCTGATGTCACCGCAGAATATTCACAATGTTATCAAGAGCTCAATATACTGTAGCAGATATCTACTCATTATGAATAAAATTGAGCAATTTTCGACTTTTGTTAGATCCTTATTCATTTTGCGTTCATAATAATGTATAGGTTCTCTAAAGAAAACCACGATGACATAAAAATAGAACTTCTGCTGGTCTCAAATGCCAGTTCGCATGTGATTTCTGAGAAAAAACTTTTTAAAAGACCCTCTTTCTGATTTTTCCCCCGTGGAAAATTCTCGTCCCATTCTCCATCATGTCTGCATGGGTTGACAACTTAATCATGATATCTCAGAGTACTGTACTCTACTGTGTATACAGTCACTATTTTAGGTTATTCTTATATAAGCTAAATTATACATGACATTATGTTGAGCTGAAGCTGACGAATAGTATATTCATCAGACCGGAGTGCGAATAGTCAGTTTGTACTGATTATGTATTCATCTGTCGACTTCGTTTCGTTATCGTGGGAACTTCAGGCGTTCCTTTTGTTTTATTTCGTTTCGAATTGATCAGGAAATACCAATGTTTTGTTCAATTCAGTGAGTCGTGTTGTCGAATGTGCGATTGAACCGGATGAATGCGACATTATTTATTGAAATCCCTTGTTCACTTTCTCTGTGCGTGAATATTCCGTAGTGTTTGTGTGAACACGCAATTCGAGACGTTATTGTGAAGCGGATTTTGTTGAATTTTTGTGTGTTCGGATTTCGTTGTGTTCGTTCCTTCAACTCGTCATCGTTGTTAATCTTGGAGGAGGGATTTCGTGATGGCTGAAAAAAATCAAAAACTTGGTGAGATTGAACTTTTCAGTTTTCAGACAGTAATTAGGCCTATGTATGCCGTTTGTTTTTTTTAAATCATTAAATGTCGAGTTTGGTGACTGTATCACATGTTATTGTTCACGGGACATTTTTGAAAGACTGAAATGAACGAAGCACAAGAAGAGCTAGTGTTTAAGAAGAGCTAATTCAGGAATAATGTGCAGATTTCGAGTGTGATTCTTTTTTAAAACCGAGTGAATGAAGCCTGAATTCTCAAATTAAATACTACCGGGTATAGTCCTGGATTGATCAGGTTTATATTCAGGTTGAACAGATTATATTAATATTGCCTGGTATTTTAATCAATGGCTCTCACGAAGCTTTTTATTGCTCGACATTTTCTTTCCAGATGTACAGTTCTTTCCGAAAAATTCCGACCACTTTCCCTGATTTTTCTTTTCCACTGGTGCTTCGATAGATTCTAGTGTGAAATTCGAACTTGTTTGTCCAAAAACTGTAATGACCTTGATCATTATTCAGTCATTTCCGGGAATTGAAATTTATTCATCCAGGTTCCTTTCGTTAGAGCAACCATCCCGTGCTCTTATCTGATCCGACGTGCATCGCTNTTTTTTTTTTTTAAATCGTGAAATGTCGAGTTTGGTGACTGTATCACATGTTATTGTTCACGGGACATTTTTGAAAGACTGAAATGAACGAAGCACAAGAAGAGGTAGTGTTTAAGAAGAGCTAATTCAGGAATAATGTGCAGATTTCGAGTGTGATTCTTTTTTAAAACCGAGTGAATGAAAGCCTGAATTCTCAAATTAAATACTACCGGGTATAGTCCTGGATTGATCAGGTTTATATTCAGGTTGAACAGATTATATTAATATTGCCTGGTATTTTAATCAATGGCTCTCAGCACGAAGCTTTTTATTGCTCGAAATTTTCTTTCCAGATGTACAGTTCTTTCCGAAAAATTCCGACCACTTTCCCTGATTTTTCTTTTCCACTGGTGCTTCGATAGATTCTAGTGCGAAATTCGAACTTGTTTGTCCAAAAACTGTAATGACCTTGATCATTATTCAGTCATTTCCGGGAATTGAAATTTATTCATCCAGGTTCCTTTCGTTAGAAGAACCATCCGGTGCTCTTATCTGATCCGACGTGCATCGCTTATTCGAACTTGATAAAAACCAGTTTCTGTTGAGAATTTAGATTTTAGATGATAAATATGAACGCGGGGATCTAAAATATACTATGAACCCGGCGTTCATTATGCTTGATTCCGTTTTAATTAATTATGATACGACAGAAAGCATAGGAACGTGATGTTTTGAAGCTCAACTTGATGGCATTTCAAAAGGAATTACAGTACTGTAGAATACTGTATATCTGTAATCGGTTTACGTGATTGAGATTCAATCTGATGAATTTCCGAGGGATTCAATATTTTTATTTACTGTAATTATCCAAAATAACATATTTATGTGATTTTATTTGTGTTTTTTGTGAAGGTTAGGAATATCGTACACTATTTAACCATGTGCGGTTCTGGGGCAATCCTTGTACAGTACAGTACTTTTTATCGTACATTAATGCCGTGATTTTTTCCAGCTTTTTTTATTACTTTATTATTTACTTTAGTAAGATGCACACCTGTGTTTTCTAGCCAAAATTCCTGATAAAAATTTACGGTATTAAAGAGACTGGAATTGCAATATTTTGATAAGGTACACCAGAATTTGAATTTTGACTTGTACTCAAATTTAGTGTCAAAAATTTTCATTTTTGGAATGCCTTGGTTTGAAATTCCTTTTTGAAATCAAGTCTGACATCCACTGAAGCTTCAAAATGTTTGAAGTGCAGTGAAACCCCCAGATGCAGACATAATTGGTGCATCAAGAGTGTCCCTAAGTTGAATTGTCCCTAAGTCAAGTCTTGTTTTCCAATAGACTTACATAATGTAATATTTAATTGATGTTTTATGGAAGAAATATTCTTCAGAATTCCATGAAAAAAGTGTTTGCCAATTGAATTTGATTCAGTGAATATATTCTCAACTCAAGAAGAACATTTGGAGCATTGAATAGTGTACCTCTGTACTGCACATTGAAATGTTGGCATCTACAAAAATAACATTCAAGTCACAAAGAGAGATGGAATTCCCTCCATACAATAGGCAGTTTTTTGAATTAGCTGAATGGATGGGAAAATGATGGGAGAAATGACAAAGAATTTTTTTTGCATAACTCTTAGGTTTGGAAATACAGTATCTTGCAATCAAGACAAACAAAAGTCAATTTTTGTGAACTCTATTGGCAATTTTATCACGCGATGTCCTCATGTTGAGTCAGTGTCTGTATGTTAGGCCTTTTTTATGCCCTTTTTATTGCAAAATAAATGTCCCTATGTCAAATTGCCCTCATGTCAAGGTGTCAGTGTGTGGGTGTCTCACTGTATGTTATTCATTCAATGACAATGACAAATACCCTATTCTTTTTTCCTCTCAATTTTGAAAAAAAGGTGCGCTTGTAACTGAGTAATAAATAATTCATCAAAATTTATTCTCAAAAGTGGGGAGATTTTTTTTGCAAATCCACCTGAACCAAATGATAAGTTTTAAAATGTAAGAATTATTTTACATCATAAAAAACGTTCAAAAGGGATGGAATAAAACGTAAACTTTTCCCTAAATTTAATTCGTGACGTTCGTTATTTATTTTTTTGGATCATGTGTACTGTATGTATCATTGTTCAACGCGCGGTCTCAGATATTCTGGTTCACCCTGTTTTTTTTTTTCTTCTGAGTAATACAGTATTTATGACTTGAGTTTGATAAACAGGGTATTTGTCTTTCTCATGTTTTCGTCACAGCTCTGTTGAGCGTCTCAGACAAGACCGGACTCATTGCCTTGGGCCGAGAACTCGCCGGTCTCAACTTCACCCTGGTCGCATCCGGCGGCACTGCCAAGGCGCTCCGTGCCGCCAATTTATCCGCCGTAGACGTTTCCGAGCTCACGGGCGCCCAAGAAATGCTGGGCGGGCGCGTGAAAACGCTGCACCCTGCGATCCACGCCGGGATCCTGGCCCGTGACACCGACGACGACCGCCGCGACATGGCGTCCTCGGGCTACAAATACATCGACGTCGTCGTCGTCAACTTGTATCCCTTTGAGGAGACCGTCAGCAAGCCGAATGTGACTCTGAGCGACGCTGTGGAGAATGTGGATATCGGAGGAGTGGCGTTGTTGAGGGCAGCGGCGAAGAATTATGCGAGAGTGGTGGTGTTGTCGGATCCGCAAGACTATGACGCTGTTGTGGCGGAGATGAAGATGCTTAGCAGTGAGGGTTCAGTTATTGTAATGTTATATTTGACTTTAACTTAACAAGAAGGTTCAACTGAGACTGATATCTTTGCTATTAAATTACCACAGGACCAAAGATGCACAAAGTGAGCAAGCAGTTAAGCAGCTTCCTAGCTCATTTCAATTTTAAATTACTATACTTGAACTTTAGCAAAGGAATGGGACAGCACTTGGTTGAAGCTGAATATAGACTGATGATTTATTGACACAATCCACGCACCTTATATACCCCACACAATAGGCATGAAAACACACAGGCACTTTCCACAAAAAACAAGTCCCAAAAACCAGGAAATTTTCCAAGGTAAAATTTTGCACATTGCGTAATTCATGATGCAAAATACCGAAGCGCGTATCTCATTCAATTCTTAAGATACAAAATTCCGCAACGTCTTAAAAGTTAGATCTCAATGTTTTCTACACTTTTTGTTCTTAGTAAAATATTTCGAAATGTCTAACTTTTTAAGATATTTGCATTTCCGCAAAATAACTTTTTCGCCAAAGCGCTTCGCTGATAAGAATCGGCGCGCATTTCCTCCCTGATAAAATCACCCATGGTCAGGAGCAGAGACAAAAACAAAATCATCCCACTTGGAGCATTCACAAAGTAAAATGCACAATTGGTGCAATATTTGCAGCTGCTAAAATTACATCAAGTTCCTGCTGCAAGAAAGATGTT